GCTCAAGATCCAGCACAGAACAGGTCCCCACGCACAGCAGGTGCTCCGCATTACCAGAGTGCCAGCATCAGGTGCTGGGACCAGAAGCCATGGGTGTCAGCCCCGGGTGATCATCTTGGCCTGCTCCCTGGTACTAGAGCAGGCCCTCTGTGCGGAGGCGCTCTGGGGCAGCACAGTGGGTTACCTGTCCTCCTCAGGAAGGAAGGGGGCAGCAGAGACCACACCTGCCCTGGCAAGCCCAGCTCACAGGCAGACTGAGCTGAAGGGGCCACACCAGCCCCCATCAAGCTCCATGCTGCCCCAGGCAGCGTGACCTGGAGCAGTCATTGCTCCTCTCAGCCCAGTTTCCTCAAAGGTGGGATCCTAGCTCTGCTCCTGCCTGGGTCCCGACCCAGGAGAGGACTTTGTGCACTGGGGGCTTCCAGGATGGACTCACTCCAGATACACGTGGCTTCTTCCCCAGGAAGAGGAATACCTGGCGCTGGAGATGTGTGCTCTGCTCTAAACTCAGGAAGCACCATTGCCACTTGTGCCCCCAGGGAGACAAACCCATCCCTGTCCCCAGAGGCTGGGACCTGGGCCAGCCTGTCCTAAGAACCCTCTGATCCCTCTGCCCACATGATGGGCCCGTAAGGCAAATTCAGAAAACACCAGGCCTAATCTTGGTCCTGCATAGTGCAGGGTTTCACTATGCAGCTTGGACTTGAGTGATGCTACTGTTTTCTGCCTCTCTAGTGCTGGGATTACAGGCATGCACCACCCTGCCAGGACTCCATCACCAGCTCAGTGCTCCTGGGGGTGAGACTGGCAAGGCATGGGGTGCCAGGGATCAAACTCTGGCCCCTGCACTTACCTAAGTAAGCACTCAGTCTGCTGAGCTATCTTGACGGTCTAGACCTAGTCTTGAACTTAGAAGGGAAACTGAGGCTGGTGCTGGGCTTCTGAGCCCCTCAGGGAACTTCCAAAAACAAGTTTCCTATCCCCTTCCTCAATCAAGGCCTTCCAGGGCATCTGCACCCACAGGCTTATAAGGGAGGTGGCCAGATTCTGGGTGTGGTGGTGCATGCCTATGTTCCCAACACCCAGGAGGCTGAGACAGGAAGATCACTCCAAATTCAAGACTTATTTTTAGCTATGTAGTGAATTTATAGGCAACCTGGACTACATAACAAGACCCTCTCTCAAAAACAAAACAAGGGATCAGATTTACTCTCTCCATTGGTCCCCTTCCCTTCTTTCTCAGTGTTTCATCTGAGTTCTATTTCCACTGGCTCCCACTTAGATTTCAGAGTCAGAAAGTTTTAGCGAACACAAAGGCAGTGCAAGGGATCATTTCTATGCATAGACTTATTAGCTTGGAGTTTAGCTTCACTGTCACTTTAAATTTAAAAAAAAAAAACTGCTTCAAATGCAGACCCCAGATACATCACCATGGGCAAAGACTGCTCAAGTTCAGGTCTACGAGCTTCAAACTCCTCTGCCAGTGGTGGCTACCACTGTCCAAGATGAGGAGCACAGCCTGCAGGAGAAGTTCCTGCACGCTCACATTGTTCCTAGCTCTTGAGATGGTCTCTGGGGCCCAGCCAGCCAGCAGCAGAGCTGAGGTATGGACCCTGGGTGCAGGCCAGAGCCAGTGCCTGACTCCTGAGATCTCTGAGGGGACCATGGGATACAAGGAGACTCTGGTCACAGGGTTAGTGAGCTGTCGTTATGTTCACTTGACACCACAGACAGGAGCACCTGAGCCTGGGTGTTTCTGAAACTTGCACCCTGCTGGGGGCTCTGTCCATAGGAAGGGTTTTCAAAGACTGTGCAGGGCTGTGGTGCAGCTCAAGGCAGAGTAGCTGCAAAAGAAAAACTAGTGTGGAGGTGAAAATTTTCACAATGGCAAAGGAAGCAGGATTTCAACCCCAATAGGTCTTTGAGGCAGGAGCTTCCTTCCCTTCTTCCTTGCCTCTTTCTCCTTACCCTCTCCTTTTTTTTTTTTTTAGTTCTCAATATTTTATTACACTTTTTAGAGTACGTTTACAATATCAGCAGTTAGTTTACTTTTATGTGGTTTTCTAAGGAGACACTCCCAGAGGAGAGAGACAACCTTATTCAGATTCT